TGTCTTGCAGAAAGCCTGGGCGCGGTGCCTCCGCCAACGTAACCACACAACCGGCCGGCAAGCACACGGTCCACCCGTGCGAACAGTCCACCATCAGATTCGTGGGTTCCGTTGAACCAACCAGACTGGAGACAGCTAGCGACTAGGCGTGCCATTTGTGGGTAAGCAGTGAGCCTTATGAATCATGCACTGACACCTGGCTCCCAAACTTAACATTTGGAGGCATTTCCTAGCAGCGATCCACCCGTTTGCATGGGTTCTGGCTCGGCTACCGGTGACAGCGACTGGCGCTCTTTCCGCGTGCCGTGGGAATGCAGTGGGATTTGGTTTTCGTGATCTAAACCGCATCAGGAACGTGCGCGCGGTCGTCGGCCCTCCGCAAACATCCGCGCAGTCTCATCTCCACCGCCGCCAGCCCTGTATTACGCACTCCACGCGCCGCAGCAGGAGACGGCACCGCCCGCGCGTCTGTGCGACACAAGTCAGCCGGACGCCGGCCATGCGGCTGCTCTCCCCACATCCGGGCGCGTCCGACCGCGCCCCGCCCGACTCGCAGCGCGTCGCCGCGCGCGCTCACGTGGTCACAACCTCCACGACGGCGGCGGCGCGGAACGGCTCGTCGTTCTCGGGGCAGACGCGGGCGTGGTTCTGCAGCGACTGTCTGCTGGAGAGCCGCTTGCCGCACAGCTGGCAGCGGAACGGCTTGTGGCCGGTGTGCGAGGCCTGGTGGCGGCGCAGCCTGAACGTGCTGGAGAGCACGAGGCCGCACCGCTCGCAGGTGAACGCCGCCGGCCGCCGGTGCACCAGGGTCTTGTGGCGCGCCTTCCTCAGCTGCCGGGAGCGGGCGGTGCGGGTCAAGTGGGGTTGATGTGGGGTCAGGTACAGGCGGGCCTCCTGACGATGGGTTATCTTGATATAGAGACGACCTCAGAGTGGTCAAGCTGTTCTACTACGGCGCTACATGTGCACGGTCCAGATGTCACAAGATGATTACATGACACTTTGCGGTGGCGTTTAATCGGCCATAGAAAACAACTGAGTTATATCATGAAACTACAGGTCCCGGGTGATTTCGTGTAACAAGGACTCTGGGTTGGTTTAGCCGACTGGCGGACTTCTTCAGAATCATGGCCAAGACATTCTTACCACGTGTTTCGTAAACCCGAAGACCCTCTGTATTTGTTGCTGTTCCTCAGCTGCGTTTGAAACCGCTACCAAAAGAGATTTCGAGCCATGCCGCGGGCGACCGCAATGAATCGCAACATCAACATTCATTTTCTCACGCTGGCCAAGCGCGTGCGCGCCCCAGGAACACGGACAAAACCAATAACGCAGGGCAAAAGAGCGGCGCAGGATGCTGAAATATCCCAGTCAGTAACGGCATTCACCCAGCAGAGGCCACCACACCCTCACCCACCAGGCTGGTGAACTCTGCATTACAGATGTTGCAGCGGTGACGGCGGCCTCCGTGCGAATCCAGGTGGTTGAAGTAGCGGCTGCTCGAGTAGGCGCGGTAGCCGCACGTGGCGCACACGTGCAGCGGCAGCTGCAGGTGCACGCGCAGATGGTCGGTGGCCGTGCGGAACGTGCGCGTGTGGAACGTGCACAGGCCGCAGCGCAGAAAGCGGCGCTCGTGGGTCTCGAGGTGCGCCTGCATAGTGTCGGCGTCCCTGCTCCTGCGTCATCGGGGGGCCAGCGTCAGTAGCTGGACATAACTCGCGTCACGCGCCGAGCGGTTTCTCCGGTGCCCAGTCACTGCTGTCTTGCGCCACACGTCGTGCCCTGTACCCCCTGTTGCGCCAGAGTGGCGCAGACTCCAGTAGCTGCACATAACACCGCAGCGGACTAACCTTTCAAGCCAGCGCCGGCCGGACGCGCCCGGGCGCCGGCTTCTGCCATTGATGCCGGGGTCACCGCCCGTAACCAGCGTAAACAGTAGATGAACATAGCATTCGACGAGATTCTCCAGATATTTCTATCCCCACGAAACATGCCGACAACTCACGTACACTGCACGCGTGAGAGCGATGACATGGCTGAGATGGGCGCCATACGATCAATCAGCTGGCGCGCCTAAAAGCCCCAATCATCGCAGCGTGGCTGGAGAACTCCGCGTGGTACCCAGCGGTCAGGCGATCATTTTCGAGTACAAGTGGCAACAAACTCTCAGACTCTTCACCATTGCCTATAGGTTGGGAAAGCTAAGACGCCAAACCCGGGCCAAAGTCGTAAAACCGAACTGCGACCCAGGGACATATTCAAATAGCGCCAAAAGTCTCCACCACTAAGACGAAGTTTTATTAATACGGCTGGAACGTAATTCGTGCGTCCGTTCTACATATTATTTAAGAACCGAGACCTGAAAAGCAACGAACCGACAGTGTGCCCAAATTCAAAAATTTGTGAGGGAAATGAGCGCTTTGGGGACGATTTCTGTCTCTCAGTGTAAGACTCTTCGAAGTATCCGCCCTTTTCATAGAAAGGTAGAATTGAAAAGACGATAATATTAGCCTTATTCATCGGAGCAAAATCAGGAGGACGGAGATACAGTTGGATTGATATTTCGGCAAACATGCCTTTATCGAAATGATAGCAGGAAATTTCTGCTAAACATATATCTCCATTCCCCTGGTTTTTCTTCGAAGAATAAGGCTAATACTACCGTTCTATTTATGTGGATAATGCTCCTCGCTAATGCACTGAACAAGTTACGTAAAAGGTAGAATTATTCGTTTGTTTTGACTCCTTCAGCTTTTGGCGAACGACATTTCTATTTCGATAAAACTTTTGCTGAATGGATTGCGACACACGATCCCTACCCGGTGGACCTGCACGATGTACGTGCGCTTAAACAGCGCGATGATCTGCGGACTAAAAGTATCGGTTTATGGCAATGGCGCAAGTTCAGAGAGCCGGACACACCCTGCATGACATAGACATGGTCCAGGCCTGACAGAAGTCGCAACATGTCGCAACCGTCGCCAATCCAAAACCGCGGCTCGAAAGTTGACATCGTGCACCGCCGCCGCGTTACCTGACCGTTCCAATAGCGCTCGTGTCGGCTTTGTGGGACGGGAGTAACATTCACCCGACCACCCAGCGAACGGAGGGCGAGTGAAAGACTGACTTAACCATCGGTGCCCTTGTCGCCCCCCCCCCCCCCTAACACCGTCAGCGTCCACCCACCTGAAGTTGGGACACCAGTTGCAAGCGAACTTGTACTCAGTGTAGTGCACGCGCAGATGGCGAATGTAGTTCTGCGTGCCTCTCACGCAGGCGCCACACGTGCCGCACGTGCGCTGCTGCGGCACGTGGCGCGCGTGCGTCTCAGCCACGTGTCGATCCCTGTCCTCCTCCCTGCCGAACTCCGCCAGGCACACGTCGCACACGTGCGCCGCGTGTTCGGAGGCCATCTGACAGGTCACGTGGCACGCGTCCCAGTGCTGGAGAAAGGCAGTCGCGCCGGCCGGCCGTCAGCGAGCCGGCGCCAAAGCACAGCGTGCAGTGCGCCAGCTCGTACAGCTGCTTGCTGGTGACGAACTGGGTCGGGTAGCGCTCCCGCGTCTGCGGGTGCCTGCGGCAGGGGACGGCGCGCTCAGGCGACGGCGCGGCGCGCTGCGCAAGGGGGCATGAGTAACAGCCGGCCGACAGTACACGGCTGGGGGTGGGCGGTGCTCGTGGCACGCGGGAGGGCGTCCGTGGTCTCTCCCTCCTCCACACACACGCATAGCGTCTAAAACACACGCGGCCCGCCACGCGGAAGTCCTGAGTTCGCAGGATACGCCACGCAGAACTTTCCTCCATCCAGCAGCGTATGCCAGCACTCCCACATCTCGCGACAGGACAGAGCGTTGGACCGGCGCCGGCGGCGCGTTCTGCGGCCGCCGTCCGACCCTGTCCGTCCGCTCACCGAAGCCAGAGGTGTGCCATGAGGTCGGCGCGCGAGCTGAAGCCGAGTCGCGGGCAGAGGCCGCAGCCCAGCTGCGCCAGCGGGGCCGCCTCCGCGTGGTGTTCCAGCACCGGCGCCGTGCCGTCCCAGGGCAGCACCGTCGGCGCCGTACGCTCGCCGTCCGTGCTGCCGGGGCGGCGGGTCAGAGAGCGGGTCAGAGGAGGCGGCAGCTGGCGGCGCGGCGCGCGAGAGGTCGGGCTTCGTGGCAGGATGACGAGCTGGGCTTCTGGTACCTGCGGTTATCGTCCGATCTCGTGATGACGCTCTAGGCTGAAGGCGGCAGCGGCTGCAGATAATGCTAGATAGTGGCGGTGTGGCTTTTAGTATGCGGTGCGCACTTCTGCGCGGATAGTAAAAATATGTCACACCGCGAAATTTTCCTTAAACGAAAAAGGCTTCCGCCACTTGGCGCACTGGCAGGGAGACCCTCCCCGCCCGCTGTGCTGACACTAACCCCACGCCACTCACACAGGTCTGACTGCTCACCCGGCCGCCCTCCCAGTGCCGACGCAGACCGGGGCCCAGGGACCCGCGAGGTGTAGGCGGGGCCCAGCGTAGCGTGAGGTGTGGGACAGGACACAGCGTGAGGTGTGGGGCAGTACACCGCGTGAGGTGTGGGGCAGGACACTGCGCCATGTGTGGGACAGAACACAGCGTGAGGTGTAGGGCAGGACACAGCGTGGAGATGTGGGTCGGGACGAGGCGTGAGGTGTGGGGCGGGACGCGGCGTGAGTTGTGGGGCGGGGACACGGCGTGAAGTGTAGGGCGGGGGGCACGGCGTGAGTGTAGGCGTGGAACACGGTGTGATGTGGTGCGGTGGAACACGGTGTGATGTGGTGGCGTGGAACACGGTGTGATGTGGTGGCGTGGAACACGGTGTGATGTGGTGGCGGGGAACACGGTGTGAGGTGCGCTCGGGGGACACGGCGTGATGTGTGTTCGGGGAAACAGCGTGAGGTGTGGGACAGAACACCGCGTGAGGTGTGGGACAGGACGCAGCGTGAGGCGTGGGGCGGGACGCGGCGTGAGGTGTGGGACAGGACACAACGTGAGATGTAGGGCAGGACACCCCGTGAGGTGTGGGACAGGACACCGCGTCAGGTGTGGGACAGGACACAGCGTGAGGTGTGGGACAGGACGCAGCGTGAGGTGTGGGACAGGATACAGCGTGAGGTGTGGGACAGGATACAGCGTGAGGTGTGGGCGGGACGCGGCGTGAGGTGTGGGACAGGACACAGAGTGAGGTGTGGGACAGGACACAGCGTGAGGTGTGCGACGGAACACAGCGTGAGGTATGGGGCAGGACACTGTGCCAGGTGTGGACAGGACACATCGTGAGGTGTGGGACAGGACACAGCGTGAGGCGTGGGGCGGGGACGCGGCGTCAGGTGTGGGACAGGACACCATGCCAGGGTGTGAGACAGGACACAGCGTGAGGTGTGGGGCGGGACGCGGCGTGAGGTGTAGGGCAGGACGCGGCGTGAGGCGCGGGGGCGAGACACGGCTCGACCTCACCGGACCAGAAGGCGGACGTCGTCGAGCGGCATGGGCCGGCCGCGGAACACGGCCTCGCGCCACAGCATTACCGTCAGGGCGTGTGCCACCGCGTCCTGAGGACGCCGCCCGACAGCGAGTCAGCAGGCGAGAACAATACGTCCACGGGGGAGAGCGGTGATAGCCAGACAGACGTGGCCGAGACATGATTCAAGCAAGACCTTCATCCCTGGTTTTTCGGCATCATGGGTTCGGACCTTATGTTGAGTTATCTGCCTTTGATATACCAGGAGGTACGGGTTAAGCAATGTTATACAGCAAACCTTGCTTACAAGACAGCACTATCGAGTACAGCCAATATATAACCAAATATAATTTAACCAAAGTTCGCTCTAAAACGTTGTCGAACCAATACTTACTAGTATGTATTAAAAATATATCCAGGAGTACTGCTTAGACGACATCATACAGCAAATCCTGGTCAAAAGGCAGAACTATCAAATACATTCAATATCATCTAAGTTCGTTCTACAACGTTTAACCAGCACCTGCTGGTACACTGAAGGCCCATCTCTCAGCACAAGACTGCCTCTGGCTTCTCAGGGCCCGTGCGCCACAGCACACAGGACTTGCGGTGACACCGGCCACGAACACGGTGTCTGACCGACGCAATCAACGCGGGTCATGCAGCACGCAGAACAGCGCGGGTATAGTCACAGCTGGTCACGGCATCATCGGTACAGGCATATGGAAACCCGCGCACCTGACAGCGTGTCCACTGACACTGACACCGCGCAGCGTGTCGCAGGGGACATTAAGGGCACTGGCGGCGCATGGTCCCGTGAACACTACACACGCATGACATGGTCCTTCAACGCCGCCGTATCGGTCGCAGCTCAGTGCCGCTCACACCAGCAAAACGCCCGCCCACGGCCTCCACACCCATCCTTCACGAACATTGGCTCCACCTGCCCGAGCTGCAAGACCAGAACTGAGCGCACAAGGCAGAAACGAAGGGCGGCGTGCAAACAGACGACATTTACGCGCATCTGCATTATTGACTGGCGTCTGTCATGTGTCTCGCATGAACCGCGATCGCCACGCGACGCGTGCCGTGCCGCGACCAGCGCGGCCGGGGACGGCGTCCGTACCTGGGCCTTGAGCACTCCCCGGAGCCGGGGCGCGGCGCCCGGCCTCCGCTGGCGCGGCTTCCGTCTGCTGGAAGGCACGGCACAGCGACGCTTCAGAGGTCACGTGACACGGCTCGGGCTGCGCCGCGGGGACGCGGCGAAGATCGCAGAAACACGCGCTGTGGCGTGGCGTGGCGGAAGGCTTCCAGCAGAGGCGCCACCACATGACGGGGGAGGTTGTGAGGGGCAAACGGTAGCGGCATACAAACCGATCACTCGAGAACACATCCGTCAGGACAATGAGACGTCGAAAATCCTTCCTGCCTGGAGGGCCGATGTCAAGACCCAAACCAGAGTCACACGGGCGACCCCGATTCACCCAGGGAGAGGGGGCGATCCAGGCCACCTCGTGCCGTCGCAGTGGCGGCGGGTGCCGACCGAGTGACCGCCTGATGCGCGAACTCACTCGTACTGCAGAGGAGCCATGTAGTCGTCGTCTCCGGGCCGCCACACGTCGAGCCTGGGGCGGGGGGCGTGGCTCTCAACGGATCAGGCGAGACAGCGCGCCTCGTTCTGCTTGGCGCTCAGTTCCTTGATTCCCTTTTGCCAACGTTCTCACGTTGTTGCCATTTTGTTGTTTCGATTTAAGGTGGGCTCACAGGCTGGCAAACCATGTCCTAAATTTAAGCACGGGCTGTGGGCGCGCCAGAACGGCACTGTCCTTCCGCCCTGGATGCGCGCAGTATTTGAAAACAGGACCGCACGTTTTGTAAGATCTCTTTGGGGCCGATCCTTGTCGCGTGCAATCAACCCCGGCGACCCTGGCACCACCAGCAGGTTCAAAACACCACCAGCATGCAAATTCCAGTTCAAAAGATATGATTTGCCGAAAAAGTTTAATGACGCATGCGCTCCGGCACCCCGCCCCAGTCAGATGCCAATTCGGCACCAAGTTGACATTGCCGGCTAACTCTCGAAGACGGGCATATAAGTGCAGTTGCTGGAACACAAGCCACAATATGTATGCTACCAAATGATACGAATGCCTGACGCTCTAGCAATTGAAACACAGGCAGAAAGACGACAAAAGCAATACTAACCCGTCTTCGTTTTGATCTGGAGTTTTCGGGCCGCCACTCTCATCTGGGCGTCCCCTGAAAACGTGCCACGGGGCACGTGCACACGCAGTTAAAAACACCCCACGGCAACTGACTGAAAGCCACGCGAGCACGTTGATAAAATATTAAATCTACCCTAACGTAGCGACTGAAATCAATCGTGGAATACGTCAACGGTGGCAGACGATTAATTTTTGATCAGCTGAAAGAAATTGGTCAGGACCTTCATGAGCAGCCCGCAAAATCAAAGCATGCAATCCACTCTTTGCACTTGTGAAACACTCTCACGCAGCTGAAACATAGTGAATTATTCATTGGGAAGGAGCCATGATAGAACATCCAACAATTCAAAACAGACAGCCCAGAGCTTAAAGCACAGAACCCCTCTCCCCTTAAAACAAGGAAGTCGTTCCTGGTCAGCCATTTACTTCACGCGCATGCCAGCCCTTTGTTCGGCACATCCGTTCCACCACACCGATCCGACTATGCGTCCTGTCTGCTCCATCCGTTCTGGGCGTCTGTTCTGGCCGCTCCGGCCGTTCCGTACCGCCTCTGTGCATCTGATCCGCCCGGTGGATCACGATGAAGGAGCTGGCGCCGACTGGCTCTGGCTCCGGCTCCGGCTCCCGCGCCAGTTCCACATCAGGCTGGACTGACGGTGATTCGCTCAGGTCGATGCCCCTGTCAAGAGCAAGGTCAAGACTCATGAGAAACATTGGGGTCCAGGCTGCCTTGGTGCAGAGAGGGAAGAGGTCAGGAACATGGGGTTGGGTATAAAGCTAAGCATGGGAGGAAGCATATGGCATGCACAGGGTCAAGTCCATACCCTGCACAGGGATAGGATGCAGAAAACAATCAGCCATGTCAATCCCATGTGAAGGGGGAGATGCAAGGGAACACAGGGTAAGGCATATCACCCTGAGGCAAGGGTGCTTAAATAAGCACCAGGCCATGCCCTGTGAAGAGGATACAGATAAAAATCACAGGTAGTTGATTCTACTGGAAAGGCAGGGATGTCCAGAGTGAGCCACAGTGTAGGGATGCAGGGAAGTCAGAGCTTGGTATATATTAAATATTGGGCAAATGTTGGGAAGTGTTAGAAAATGTGCTAGCTTGATCAGTTTGACACAGCAGGTGACAAACACAGTGAGATAATACTGGAGAAATACCCTTATTCCTTAAAGAAGAACCAGGATGGAGGTAGAGAAGGCAGAAGTGATGACAGGAGATATAGGTGTATTCATATTTTGAAAACATGCCTTTATGAATGACAGAACTGAACAAAACTAATCTAATCTCTGGGTTTTTATCCAAGGAATTAGACTAATGCTACTGCATATGCAATGAACATTATCTATGTGAATAATGTTCCTAGTTTACACAATTAACAGCAAACATGGTCAGGCTTAAATTCACTGCACACAACCCTATGCAACACTTATCAATATCTAATCCACCACAGTACACACTGCTCTGCCAACAAATAGTCACACTTACTGAGCATCAACAAAGAATGACATCAGCCTAATGAGCATGTCACTGTCCCCCTGCAATTCCAACTGCTTCCTTCAGTTGATGCCATGTTTTGACATTCTTTCCAAGGAGAATATCCAAAGGCAACATGTTTTTTTCTCAGCATGGCACTCTCGTTTGTATCGTTATTTGTCTCAATGGTAGCATTTTTCATTCCTGACATGATAACTTATTTATTCCATTGGCAAAATTCGAGCAGCTGCGAGCTGGGCTGACCAAATTAATAAAACTTCACCTAGCTCACGCAATTACAGTCTGCTGCACACCAAGTGAGCTGAACTGAGAGAAAAGGACGCCTAAGCGGCACCGTCAGTATATTTACAAGCGGCTAGTCAATGATCAACTGACAATAACATTTCGTTTTAAAGCCATCCTGAGTGGGTAATATCAAGAATTCATCGAGTTGAACTTTGTTTTACAAGGTCATGCAAAATAAGGTATTGATGTCAATTGATGACGTCTAAATATTTTGTTTCTAAATTTTAAAAAAAAATTCGAATGTGCTATAAAATTTCAAGAATTATATCAACAAAAAAAATCTTTAAAATTTTTGAGTAAGCTATTTGAACTATATAATCTTCAGTTTTAAGGTCATTGTAGTATATGACGTCAGAACATTGCCATAGTTCTCTGTATTTTTCAGGCAATTCTGGCGCAGTAGTTGCAAAGTTCGTGAGCGCTCTTAGAATCGGGAAGATTGCGAATTGTTAAGAAGAGTACTGCGGGTTATTCGCGCGGGAGCAGGCGCTGCGTGAGGTCGTTGAACACTTCTGTTGCGTAACTCCTTGCTTTTAATATGATACTGCTGGGTTCGAAAGCCTCACAGCTGGTCCAGTGCGCTTTGCGACTGTCCCGTCCAAGCATGCTTGGTTCAGCAGTGAGCAAATTCCACGGGTCAAGCTGCAGGCAAGACATCTTCAACATTCAGGACAAGGATGACTTCGAAGAGCGTGTACTCAAGAGCGGCAAGCCAGTTCTAATTGATTTCCATGCAAAGTAAGATCTTAGCTGGAATCCGTTAGTGTTTGTGTCATGTTTGGTGCAGCAGCATGCAAGATAAGATGTACAAAACTTGTCATTTTTTCCCACCTACATCTGTGGTTTGTGTTTATTGTAGTGAGCTAGGTTTTCCTTTTTAGGCTGCATGCTTGGTGCTCAATATGTCTCACATTATCAGCAAGTGCTGCAGTGAAATCCTTACCAGTTTAGGAGGATGGCCATACCATTATAGCATATACCAGGTTGTGCTACAACTTAGGCCATTGGGACATAAGATTTTTGAACAGGAGTCTGGTGAAATGAGCTGATAAAATTATTCACCATTCTGACATTGGCCCCTGATCTATGACTATTCTAATTTTGAATGCATCTCATGTTAATAAAGATGGGTTTTATTCATGGTCTCTGACAACCACAAGCTGCTTGTGGTGGTCAGTGTCACATTTTTCTGTTGTTGTTCAGGCTTAAAGAACAGAGGTATTTTCTGACGAAAAATGCATTTAAAACCTGCAGCCTAACACAAACTGCATGCAATTTCTTAAGAATGCATAAATTGTTTGTTACCCTGGATGTCTTTTTTGGGCCAATGATAATTGTTATGCCATTGCAGGAGTATGAAAAAATGAGACAGCCCCTAACTGTCTCAAAATTTGATATTGCCCTTTTGGACGCTGACTGGAAATAAATGACTGAAGCAGACTTCCACTGCCCTTGTGTCATTAGATGTGCCTTATAAAAATTGATGGCATCAAAGGAATGATGGCTGGGTGTTCCATTTGGAAAACTGACATCAAATAAATAGGTGTATCGTGATGTTTGATGCTATTGTGTTCTTTAGTGATCTTGAGATGATGTTCACAAATAACTGAAACCACTTGTTTGGCAGTTGCACTCTCATTTGATCACTTCTTCAAAGCTATGCCATCCTGTATTTTTATTCTCTCAAGGTCAATAGACATCACACAAGCTAATGATATTAACCATGCAGGCAAATCATGGCTGTCTGGAGTGTGGAATGATATATGTAGGCTAGGTTTCTGCACTCCAGGTTTCTAAGACCACATCTCTATTCAATAAGTTCAACTTGTTATAGGGTAAACCTAGGAGCATCTTTGGATGTTTTGTCTGTTTGAGTGTTTTATTCTCTGACACTAAATGCATGTCTCTCCAAAGGTGGTGTAATCCCTGCAAGCAGCTGACCCCGAGGCTGGAGGAGGCCCTGCAGCAGTTCAAAGATGATGTTCACCTGGCAAAGGTGGACATTGATGACAATGATGATCTGGCAATGGATTATCAGGTGGGAATGATGACCTGGCAATGGATTATCATGTGGGAATGATGACCTGGCAATGGATTATCAGGTGGGAATGATGACCTGACAAAGGATTATCAGATTGGAATGATGACCTGGCAATGGATTATCAGGTCAGAAAAATGGTCTTGCTCATTTGCTCAGTTCTTGATCAGAACATCTTGGGCTTTTACTTGCCCTACACTCCTGCAGTCTCCAATGGTCCACTTCTACTAACACCAGCCTGGTAGTTGCTTGGCCAAGCAAGAAAGAGTTGCTTGGTGGCTGGTGAGCTGACACTGCTTCCCACTGCCTTGCTGATGTGTGAAATGCAATACAGTGGACATCACACAAGCACACATGTTGCATGCACACATGCGCACACCCTTATTCATGCCATCTTGTATGAAAAGTGAGCATGATGTGCACCACCTGCCTGCCCACATGACATGCATGCACACATGCATGCATTCATGTAGGCAGGCAGGCAGTGGTGAGGTTATGTGGTACATTGGTCATGTATCATTTGTATTATAATGTTTTAAAGATGGAAAGCACAAAAGGACATTAGTGCATGTTGTCTTGAAGGAGGGATAACTTATGATGGAAGTATTGGTACTTACCATTGCATATTACTTGGCCCTTACATTTACACTATGGCACTTCCAACACAAAAGGCTGCAAAGCATTGGTCGACCTGCCCTCCATGTTGCCAGATGCCATACTGTCATAGATCATGTCATTTCACGTCATACCTGGTGTTGCCAGGTGAGCGCCGTGCCTGTGGTATTCGCCATCAAGGGTGGCAAGGTGGCCGACAAGTTCATCGGCCTTCAGGACTCCGACCGGATCACCTCCTTCATCCGCGGGCTGGTCGACAAGTAACTGGCGTCGCCCGCCTGACGTCATACGTGACGTCACCGTGACGTCACCGCGGCGGCGTGTGAGATGCGGGTACCCGGGTGGCATTGGTAGGACGGCTGGCTGAGGGACGCCGACGCTGCCGTTCTCGGCGATCTGGATGCCGATGCCTGACTGAGTGAGACGATGTACCCTGCGGGGAGCGTGTGTTGCCGGCGTCCCTCGTCACGTCGCGAAGCGAGGGCGCGTGTAGGCTGCGGGTGATTGGTAGAAGTGACGGAATGACGGAGTGACGCGTCACGGACGGCGGCGGGGGCGCGTCACGTGGTGCGCACGGCGGCGTCACGTCGGCGGGGGGACTTTACACAGTTGACGTGGTAGTCCCCGGTTGACCACGCGATGCGGTGGCCTGGCCGGCCCGCGCATGCGCTGGTGGACGGGCGTGCTGTCGTCGAGCCGCCGCCGCCGTCTGGCGAACGTCTCCCACTCAGGACCACGGACGAGCTTGGCGCGGCCGCGGCTCTGGCTTTGGTCGTGCTCCGGCGCGGGCCGCCCCGCGGCTTTGGCTGCCTGCTGGTGCGCTGCGAGTGTCGGGGCTGGACGGAGCGGCGGGCGGGTCTCGCTCGCGCACTCTCTGGGCCTCCCGGGCCGTGTCGCCGCGGCGGGACGTGCGGTGCGCCGCGGTGCCGCCTGTTCTGGCCCCCGATGCTTCGACGGCCGATCGCAGGCTAGAATAGAGCCGGGCGGTGGTGGATACCTGCATGTTGATGTGGCCGGCTGTTGCGTATGTGTTAACGTGCGAGGATGCTGTGTCCGGAGTGGTGATCGTCCTTTTGGGGACAATATAACCGGCGAGGACACTCCGGCCTGGTGCTCGTGTTATCAACTGCCGGCAGGTGCCGAGTGAGGTGGCACTGGGCGGTCGTCTGAGCTGTACTGAAGTGGGCTGGAGTGAATGATGTGGCGGAGGTGTCGTGCGGCCAAATCAAAATGGCCGCAAGGACGCCTCCACGGCTTAGATAATGGCGGGCGATGTATGCAGGCATGGTGTGCTATAGAAGCGCTGTCTGAAGCTCCCGAAACTTGAATACTTTCCCATTGCAATCGTTCGGATCAGTGGTGCTCAACTCATTCGATACGATGGATACAAATATTCAAGCTTGATCCGACAGGCCGCAAGGAATCGATTGGTGTCCGTCAGTTGATCCGACTTCCATCGGGACTATGCTGCCATCTGTAGCGAAGTTCATACGATACTAGCGCCACCATGATCGGTTTTCGGCACGGACGAGGCCGTGCAGTGCGAAATCGCCCACTGACATCCATGACTAAAAACCTGACTTCCCCATCTTTCCGCTCCAAGACCTGTTGGAACCATTGCGAAATTTTCGTAAGTTTTAATTTGTGGACCTCCGTCCCAGGGCCGGTAGCCCGCTTGATACAATGGCGTATCGCCTTCTGACCCGCGAAAAAACTTCGATTTCTATGTAGGTTGATGAGATTGGCGGGCAGCACCAACTAGAGATCATTGTGCTCGTTTTCCCACAAGAGCGCTAGCATTTCGCGACGGTGCCCGGTCAGCGCTATTTTCTGCGCAGGTTTGGCAATCCAAGGATTACCGCTAAGTTTCACGCCGACCTGAAATGGGTACCATTCGCAATGGAGCTTAATTCTTCGAATCGGCCATGCTGGATGACGGCTCACCATGCTCATACATGCCATCCACATGCACATACTTTCGTCGGGATTCTTCACTCACGCACTCCTCGACGCCAACTGCAAAACAGGCAGCACGCTTCATTTTTTATTACGTATGACTCATGTATGACAGATGACTTTCTGTCTTTATTTGAATGACAAAGTGATCCGCCACTTTCTGCGCCGCTAGATGAGATCCGCACCTACATCGGCAAACGCCGCGCCAGAGCTCCCTGACGGACGTGCCACGCTATATCAAACCATGATCAACACAAGCCGGATGATATATACACTGATCTTTGACTTTGTACACTTCTCACGCACCCGCGCGCGCTTACGCCTTCTTCGCTGCCTTCTTGGGGCTCTTCTTCTTCGCCGGAGCCTTCTTGGCGGCGGGCTTCTTCGGGGTTTTCTTGACCTTCTTGGGAGACTTCGCCTTCTTGGCGGCGGCCGGTGCAGCTTTCTTCTTCGGCGTCTTTCGCCTTCTTGACCTTCTTTCACGGCCGCCTTCTTGGCCGGCGACTTGACCTTCTTGGGCTTGGGCGCGGCGGCTGCGGGCTCCGGCCTTCTCCTTGGAAGCCAGGCGGTACCGGCCGGAAAGCAGACGGGCCTCGGCTTGACCCTTGGGCCGGGTTAGCTTGCCGGAGGCGAGACCGGCCTCGAAGGCGCGCCGCAGCATGTGCCGCAAACATCACCGGCTGCACCTTGTACTGCGCCAGAATGTACTTCTTGATTGCCATCACTGAGACGCCCTGGGATCCTTCTCGGCAGAGATCGCCTTGGCGATCATCTCCACGTGGGCGGGTGTGACGGCTTGCTGGCCTTCTTCTTCGCACCTCCCTCCTTGGCTTGCGTCCCTTCTTCGCGGGTGTCACCACGGGAGCAGCGGCGTCGTCAGCCATCGTTGCGAACGGAACGCGCGGTCACCCCTCCGCTGCTGCCAAACTACGTTTACGCCGCCGAGCGAGCGTTCGCCCTTATATAAACTCTCCGACGACCGTACCGTACGCCATTCGATCGCGGGCGGCTTGGCCCCGACCAGCTGAGCGGGCCGCCGTGCGATTGTGGTTTGTGTTTGCGGAAAAATGCAAATTTAGGGGTGTTAGGGCACGGATGCAAGTTTTTTGATGTCCTAGATTTATTGCCAGGATATTCAGGTGTGTTGCAATGAAATTTACACCCCACCGAGCGTGTAATTTGATAGTATTACCACATAAACACGACAGGTTACCCACTGGAAAATCGTAGCCTTTAAAAACCGGCTCAAAATAACATTTCGGAGCATGTTATTACAAATTACAGGACACCATATGACAGGACAAATATCCAGCTACAAGATGATCAATTATCGAATATTTCACCACCTAAGTCTTCGCGTACACGCGTTTACATTAGCCGCCTCACAAGCCACACTCTGCCTGATTTTGAGGGTGTTCAGTTGGAGTCTATCCAAAGTGGTAAGTGCGAATATTTCCGATACCGCGCAAGACTGCCGCTTACTTTGTGCCACCATTCGAAAGATCTCGATGACACCTATCGATTGATATGTTTTGATGTCTGGTTTGATGATAAACCTTTGGCGAAACGTCCCAAATAGTCGTCGATGCTTGTGATGCTAGGAGTGGGGACGGACCGCTGGCGCGGTGACGTAGGCTCGGTCTCAATCCTGAAATTTACGCATCGATATCAGACGAAATCGGTGACTATGTGAATATTGAGTGGAACCATTCGATTCAGCTCATTCAGGGCTCCATTTTGAGCATAAGCTCATGTCGAATGATCATCGCGTGAGCTTTTGCGAGGGAGCTTTCCCCGCCATTGGAAATACACGCAGCCGACGGTCGGGCATCCGGCGCTATTTGCAGAAGCAAGTCGCAATATAGAATCGGGCAGTGCGGAACTTTGAATGCGTCATTTGCCGAAGGAGTTCTGGTCCTTTGAAAGCTCTAATAATAAAAGAGCTGTTTCCTTTGGCGAGCACTATCGTCCTGGTGTCTGATGGAGCTGTACAGTGGGGTGTGGCGACGGACTGGCCCTCGCCTGGCTGCGTGTCCGCCATTCGGGGATCAGAACGGGCGGCGATACCGAGCCACGGGAGCTGCGACAGCAGACCAGGCACGACCGAGCTATTCCCGGGCTGGGGTGGTGATCAGATGAGGTATACATATCACCATAATCTAGCCCCCACTTGGCTTCCCCTTGGATGCACGGACTCTAAGGCAGCGCGGCGTTTTCGGCGCCATGTTGCGGCGGGCACAGCCCGTTTACCGCGGGGCGCGCGCGGGGGGGGGACTGACAGGTGTCCGGTCCCCCTCCTGTGCCATTTTGAATCTGTCGAGGAAAGACGCGACAAGGGGGACTGAGCCGCGACCGCACCGCGACCACGTGGCACGTGCAGGTCATGCCATGTGGTTCTATTCAGGAGTCCGCCCGTACAGGAGAAAGTCGCGCCCGCGACAGCAGCGGCCATTGGCCGACGCTGGTGCACGGTCAACTTGTGAGGCTGGTGACACGCGTCAGGCTTCATTATACGTTGAAATCGACGAGTGATGAAAATGAGCGGGCGAGCTTAGCAACAAGCAGTGTCAGCTAGCATATGCCGGCCATCCGCCTGGCCCATTCCACGGAGGTAACGGATCTTGCGCGCAATTTGACCCAGATGTGGTTTGGGTATTCAGCGCCTGCGGGTTTCTAAGAGAAATTCAGCGATGCCGCTGAAATGTGTAGGAGATACAGTTGTATAATCTCAGGGCACCAGCAGTCGTTGTTCATTGATTGTTAAATATTTTAACCTCACACACCGAAGCCAAACCCGTAAGTTGTTAAGTGCATTTGCGAGGGAACACTATGCACCTACGTAGGGCAGAAAGTAACAGCTTTATTCTTTGGAGAAAAACCAGGAGAACGGGGATATAGATGCGTTAACATCTTGGCTTCAGCTATTCGTTTCGATAAAGCCAAACCCGTCAAATCTGGTAAACATCTCCTGCGCATTGATGAAGATGAACTTTCAAAAAAGCGCCGGTGGCTCGGTGGCACGTCGGTAGCTTTCTTTTTCGGAACGAGTCAGTCGCCTGGTACGTCATTGTACGGTGTTTCTCTTCGGGTACACGCATGCATGCACACCAGTGTCCACTTGCGCAGGTGGCTCCATATAAAACGGCATAACACATCCACTTGAGGAAGAGACTTAAGGACTCTTCTCCGGTTGATATGAAGACGATGTTCTGTTGTCGTCCTGAAAGATCCTTTCTCGTCCGCTTGCGGCTTTGTTAAGCTTTCAAGTCGCCCATCTCCTGACCAGAGGCGAAATTTACAGAAAAAACGCTGAAAATTCCGACCGGATCTGCACGCAAGTTGTTTGCATGCAGCACCATAGGCTCGAACACAACTTTCTGCTGGGATGCAGCTGCGCCTCCACTGAATAGCAAAGTTCTGCCAATCACGAGATCAATTCTACCGAAGCATACACATTCCGTCTTCTCAGAAAGCACGTCGGCAGGGGGAAAGACAATGAGCGCTTTACCCTCCCTAGCCCATACTTTACACCCGATCAATCCGTGAGCATTTCCGAAATTCGGGAACAATAAGAGTAAGTTCGTGTTTTTTTTTCTTCTCCGCAATGATTCTTCCTCAGTCCAAGTTTGTGTCCTTTTAGCAAAACATCCCTTGCGCCCGCCATTACTAACGGACTCCGAGCTCACGACTCTACAGCTATCTGCCAGCCCTGTTGCTTGCCGTGTGTCTTGTCTGCAGTAAGACAATTTCTGGCCTTAGATGTCCACTTCCACCCCGTCCACTAACATGGCTTTTAACAAAGTTTTTTTGTTGTATACTTTGCAGCCCGAAGTAAATGCAACATTTCACATTCGAATACCATGGGAAATATGACATTGGTTTATTTGTGGAAAAGTTCCACGATGTGTGTCGATGCCGGGCTTTGATTGTCAACGCCCGGCTATCGCAGTGACATCAGGCAAATGCCATTTGACGGAAAAGAGGACGAAAACCGTACCAGCAAAACCGTACTTTCGTCTGCGGCCCGCTTTCATTTAGACTTCAGTTTTACTGCAGAATTGTTCATCTTTCTCATAAGAGTACAGTGACATTGTGTAATATCTTACGGTGGCTTAGCTGCAGCGTCGCCAGGCTTGCCGTCACCGTACCTTTTTTGTCATCCACTCAAGCGTGGCGGTGCTTTCGCTCCAGCAATGTGATGCAACATTGCCTTGTCCAGTCGTTGTCTCGTTGTCCGGGTGGCTGCGTATTGGCGTCATCGGCGTGCCGCGAGATGACGCTCTAGGTGCTGACTACGCTGACTACGCGGCGTCGGGTTCATGCCACCCGTGCATTTTCTGATGTGTGTATCATTCTGCACCTTATGCGTCTGGTCCTGTACAGCATCTACTTAGCTTTTTCTACGCTTAGGTGCACAAGTTTGCGTAATCAACGTGGATTCGCAGAAATCGTTTTCAATACCAGGCAAAATGTCCTGCTGCGTGTTGGGGAATGCGTGACGAGAAGAAGCCCAGGAATGCTGCAGTACCAACGAAGTTTACATGCGTGAACTCTGTACGGGATACACACTCACGGTACACTCAGTCCACATGTAAGTAAAAGCGTGCATGTAAATAATGGTCAAAATTCAGTTCATTCCAATCTCACGTATTTAAAACATGACGTTTCAGCCCTTGTAAAAATATTAATTCGCATCACATCCGGCGCAGAAAAGCAACATATGTTCACGATCGATATCACCACACACGTCAGCCACGGCTACTCTCTTCACGCTGACAGTAGCCCTGCGTAGTGGTCAAAATGTGGAAAAGCCGATTTGCCAAAATAGTAGCGAATGTAGCCCAGCCGGGATTTGCTTGTGTATTTGCCCTGCACAGAAAATAAGTCATGTCCACCACTAAACAGCACCCAACCGTGGTATTTGGGTTAGTCATTAATAACGTAAACAAAATGGGATGAACGGCATCTGTGTTGCAAATCATAAACATCTCGCAACAACCTAAAAGATACTCCGTAGTGCGAAAGCCCTGCTCCTACGGACAGACCTAGTCGCTAGACGTTGAGTCGTGCATAAATCGTTGGTATTCCCCCAATTTGGGTTCAAAACTCTGCAGGTGAGCAGTGCACAAAGTACATGTGTACAAAGTACGTTAACATTGCTGGATTTCGTGTGGGAAGGCTTGACATATATATTGTGTAAATGGTTCTGAGTTAAGTATGTTGAACACCTTTGTGTTTCACTTTCGGAATGCAGCTTAAGTAAAGTAACCCGTACAGTCTAAATGTACTTGCATATGCCTCTGGGGCTGCAGGCATTGTACTTCAATATAAGGTTACACAGTGCTACATTTCTTCCCTCACCGCCGCCTTTCAAAGCAAACGGCGGTTGTCATGCTTGCGCCAAATGCATATACTAACAAATACAGGTCCCCTAAAAAATCGACAGTTTGCATGTCCTTTCTATCATATGGCATAGCACGTACCGAACGAATCGCACCGTTGCGCAGGTCGCCTCAAATCGACGAATAAAGCCAGGGTGAGTATTGTTCCCATCAACTGAAATGCTTAGGCCGAGTTCAGTCCATTCCAATACTGTCGTTTAAACGCAAAAGTGCCTAAGTGTTATGTTAACTAATGGTTCTCAGGCCGCTCTGCCTTTGG